ATCTGGATGCTGATTGTGTTTTGTGTCTGTGTGTGATATTGAGACACAGCAGGCCACCCATTATGCACAAGGGTCACTTACGTGGTGACTTCGGTAGGATGCAGAGGTGCCTAAACCAGGGGCAGAGCTAATTTTAATAAGTGGAACCACTGCTGTGAGCTTGCTGTGAGCAGTACAAGTCAGGGTGGATGAAGTACCATACTAACCAGGTTCTACTGATTCAGGGGCTGTCATCTCTGTGGTGGGCAGATGAATCAGCTTGCTTTTCTGAAGCTTAGGGAATAACAAGGCACTTCAGTTTGCTATATAAACACTTCTAAGATTTCTAACACTGGCAATGTTAAATGTGAAACCAAAGCTGGACTTACAGGTTTCTGATAGACAAAAACTGAAGTAGTGACACTACTGAGCTATTCACACCACCCACCTTCAGGAAGGTTCCGTACATGCCCACATCAGGAGACTACTATGCTCTCTGGTCTAGCTATGGCAGGAGATGAAAGATATTTCAGCCCTACAGTTCAGGGTTCACAATTTGGGTTGCCCAGTCTGGGTTTCTGTCTCAAATTCTGCTATGAAGGAATCTTTTTGTTCACCACAGTGCATTACCTCCAAATTTAGATACCAGAGTTACATATCTAATTTTAGGTGTTCGGATGTCAACTGCATTTGTAGACACATAAACAGTTGCTTAGAGTTCCATAGTTCTGATACCACTTTGCATTGGAAACATTGTAAGTATTCTTCCCAGTAATAGATGTGTCACCCAGTATGGTTTGAAAATGCAGTTATTAAGCATACTAGAGATCAAAGAGATCACTAAGGAGAATTACATAGTATCTTGTCATTTTGTGTTAACCTGCTTTTATGCTTTGACTTATTGCACGCTAAAAATCAAATGCCTGCGAATAAGAGCACTTATAGTTTACATCAGGGAAATTATACTTGCAATATATGCTGAGATAACAGATACTGTGATTCCCAAAGCTTATTTTTACCATTCTTATACATACGCTGCTGTATTGTATGACTAAAATGTCAGTTTCCATTACATAGATTATATAAAGTGTACTAAAATCTGTTGTTTTCAGCATCATATATCTGAAAAGTCTCCTGAGATAACTGTGAGTAGGATTATTTATTTTTATCTGTCACATAATAATCTAGAACAATGCAAAGGCAAAGCTTAATGCTAAGGTTATCCAAGCTATGCTTTCTAAGCAAGCACAAGCAATAGAACAAGCACACTACCTGACTGTCTGGACTACAGTGTGTGAATACATCCCTGTGACATGACTGTTTTTTTCCTGATTGTCATGCCATAAGTAATAAATACACTCATGTTCTTTTATAAAGTTAGAGATTCTTTAGCATAATGTGATCCTAAGACTAGGGATCAGAGCACTAGGTGAATTAATAGAACAGCAAAGGTTTTCCTTCTCATTTGTGTAGAATATTGTATATAGTCTTTATTGCCAACATCCTTCTTTAGCCCTGCATGCGATAAGGATCCCTTGTAACTTCAGTGAACTCCAGGAGAATAAATGTCATGATAACCTGCAGAGATATAATGTCTTCTGAAACATTTGCTTAACATAAATGTAACATAGCTGTATAAATTTCAAACCAAGTGTAATATATGCTTCCTTTTGCCTTGCATATCTGCTTATATGAACTGCTGGATTTTGATTAGTGAATTAAAAAATAATTACCCATTGTCATCAACTGAAAATGTAAATCATGTCAAGGTCAGTGGTAAAATGTGTAGAGCTGCAGTAGAAGAGGAAATGGGTACCTTACTGCATATCCTATGAAATACAGAATTTGAAGTAATTCTTTTATTGATCAGTGATATCAGAAGTAGCCTCCCAAAGACTGGAGAGAGGCCAGTCATATCACACAGAGATGTCATGCCAAAAGGCTAACTGTACTTTGTTTTTTTCCTGGCTTTTGAGAACACTGTAGAAGTGAGGACACTTCAAATGATTTTTTTGAGAATACTGTTTGGTTTCTTTTAGTTTCTATTTTTATTTTTTTCCCAGAAAAAAAAAGGCAATTAACACAATTGTTAATTACTTGCTTTTAAATTCGCTGTGAGAATTCTGTTACCATTCCCTCTGGCATTCACCATATCTTGCTTAGGACTCATCAATTACTGTGAGGATTGCTACTGCATCTGCATTTCTTAATGCTTTCCAGCAGCTCCACATACATTTAACACAAGTTGAAATAAGTGTATTAAAATTACAACACATGCTGCAGCTGGTGGAAATCTAAGGGAAATCTTAGGCTAGTTGTCAGCTTTTCACAAATGTGAAAATTGTAGGTTAAGTAAGAGAAATTGGTAACTTCTCAGTTGGTGTGAGTGTTGTTATACTGGAATCAGACAGCCTTCAGCAAATTGAGGTACTTCTTTTCTTAGGAAGGGAGGTCTTGGCTCAAATTATTTTTCTCTTCTGTAGTCTACACTTTTGCCTATTGTTAATTCATTCCAGAATGGTCAATTAAGCGGGGTAGTAGTGGCTTTGGGTAAATGTCTTAGTGGCATACATAATCCTAGCCTGTTTCCCCAAGCAACTTTCATTGGTTTTTTAAGTCATTCTGCTCATCTGTCACTCTGAAAGTGACGTAACCTCTTAACTCACCGAAACACGTATGATTTATTGATTTGCAGCTGGCATTTAGGCATTTTGATCAGCAAGGTTCTCTGAAGGAAATCCAGTCCTTGTGACGATGTTTTAGTCGCATGAGTGCTATTCAATGGTGGTAGCTCAATGACAGCATGCTGTAAAAATAAAAATATAACTGATACCCAGCAGAGCTTTTTTTTCCAGTAACTATTCCAATTGCTTCATTCAAAGTCACCTTTAGAAAGCAGCATTTACTGACTCTCTCTTCTTCTCCCAGCTCCTAACAATGTTATTGTAATTCACTTCGTTCTTATATAAATGAGGATAAATGTGTGCACCTTATACTTGTATAAATTCAAAACACTACCCAACAACTTGCAGGAGATATGACTGTGAAGTTCTTTACCAGAAAGCAGTGCTGCCACACGTTCTTCCCATCACTGTCTTCCCAGTGCAGTAAGTCTCCTTTGTCTAATTCATGGGTGACCTTTGAACAAACAGCCTGAACAGATATTTGTGTTAACATACTTCTGCAGTGCGACTCAGATCTCGCAAAACTACCACTTTATTCCTCTTACTTGAAGAGACAAATAAACCTGTCAGCTGTGTTTGGCTTTCTCTTTGATGTTGATGTTCACTCATTTAATTTCTCAGACTTTTTTCCTCTTTTCCTCATTGCATTTTACAAGCATCTGTATTTAATTTATGTGTCCATATTATCCTTGTAGTTCAGATTCCCATCATTGCTATTTCATGAACTTTGTATAATCCATGTTTGTAACATGCCTAGAGAAGCCCTTCCTGTTATCTTTGACATCCCTGGCCAAACTCAATTCTGTCTGGGTCTTAGCTTTCCAGACTGATTCCTAGATTCATGGACAATGGCCCTGTATTCTTCCCAGGCTGCCTGTCCTTGCTTCCACCTTCTACAAGCTTCTTTTACCCTTCTAAGTTTCCTCAGCAACTCCTTATCCATCTGTGGAAGCCTCCTGGACTTCTTGCTCCATCTCCTTCTTGTTATGACACAACACAAGCTTTGAGTGGCTGATCCATGAATATCAATCAGCATTCCCTCCCTGCCTTCTAGAGCTTTATCCCATAGAATATAAATTGGACATCTTAAAATCAGGAGATGTGATACATTCATACAACTTTCATTTTAAACTCCAAAAGCCTTGAATGAATGTTTAGATAATGCAGAAATCCAAGAGGACGTGAAGGAAACTGAAGGATGAGAAGAAAACTTAGCAGTGAACCAAGATATCATAAAGAATAACTTGTAGGTCTGTCAAGCAGACATTGATAGGGGAAAGAACAATGAAAACAAAAGTAATTAAGCAGGGTGAAGGAGGCAACAGCAGCTGATAGTGATTATGGAAAACATTTAGGAAGGATCATTTTTAAAATGATCCTTTCAAAACCAGGATAATTTTTAAAAATATGCTCATGCATTTGTTTGCTAGAGGTGATGTTGTCGATGCATATGACAAGTCTCTGTGGGGTGTTTGTCTTACTTTTACATGACAGAAAGTCAGCAGAGTAATCATAAAATGGATGGGAAAGTGATTACAAGACAAGAATCAAAATTGGAAAACATCACTGAGGAGGTTTTACAGACAGCATACAAGTTTATTTACATGATATTATCCACCTGCTAGGTGCTTAAATACATGGGGTGGGGACTGATGCACCCTTATTGCTTTACATTACACTCAATTTTGTTTTGCTCTTGTAGCTACATTTACCTGTCAAAGGTTCTTTTCAATTTCAGTGATGGGTTTAATTTAACACCCAACGCCATAACGGCAAGGTAAATAGAGATGTTTAAATTCCCCCTGCAAACCAGAGGAGTCCAAGGCCTTCTTTTCTGTAACAAAGCTTTCATTAGCACTTGACAATGAGAGTCTGCAATGGCTCCAGCTCTCAGTGGAATAGCTGGTGCTGGCGTGGGAGAGCAGGAGACTGCCAAAAGCCTCTGTGTGGCTTGGCACCCGCAAAGTGGCTGTCAGTTTGCTTATGGCCCTAATCTGACAGTCACTAAAAATAGTTCAGGTGGCTGCTTTCTACTGATGAAGAAATCATGTTCCTCTGGATACTTACATTAGAAAAGAAGGGAACAATTAATGAATTCTGCTTTATTTACTTCCACGTTTACAGTTAAGAGTATAAAGGAAAGCTTTCACATATTTTTTAGTTTCTGGAAAACTACGGAAGCATCACAGCAAAAAGAAGACTGAACAGTGTGGAACCTGAAAATACTGAACATATTTTGCTGGTGAAATGGCATTTATGGCATGACTTTAAAATGACTTAAGTTTAAGCACGCAGTTGTTTCTGTCTTAATAGTAATTAATGCACTTTTTGTTACAGCCAGCAATCAGCTGAAGACCTTGCAAGAGTACCTGCTAATTCTACCAGCAATATCTTGAATAGGCTATTGCTCAGTTATGATCCCAGGATAAGGCCTAATTTCAAAGGTTAGTCAGATATTTTAGCCTTTGTTTTAATTTTTGGAATTTAACTTTTGCTCTTTTCACACGTAGAATATTTATACAGTGCTAATATTCACAACCTAAATTTCAGTTTGTTTGGTAGATTTTGTTTGGTAGTGTGTTTTTTTCTTTTTAATGGAAGTACCCCTAGGTAGTGTGAAACTGCAGAAGATATTTACCCTTATGAGCTGAAAGGTAATATGTTAGGATTTCATGATCATAATAGCATGTGATTCTTTATTATTACTAATACTATTACTATTATTTTATAAAAGACTTTTTGAAATTAGAATTAGGTTCTATAGAATGAGTTTTTTAAATGTCTTTTTATCCCTACATTTTAGTTAGACTTTTGTAGTATCTCAAGTTTTCAGTATTTTAAAACTAAAAATATTCACTATCAGCATTATTTAAGATGGCTTTATAAAAATGGGGATCAGCAGTATCACTCTTTGGAACCTATATGGTTACTAAATCCTTTAAAGATATATTATAATACAGGTTACACACTTTGGGGTTTCAAGTAGGTTTCAAAGAATTTAAATGCATTCTTTGCCCTTAAAACATCTCTGTGGTAGTCAGATCTTGTAGGAATCTTCTGTGTAGGAAAATTTAATTTCCTTACATATGCAGAGAAGATTGGACTACATCTTCCTTGCAAAGCCTCTAATAACTCCTACAGCTGGAAAAAGACATAGGCCATTTTCTTACATTACAGACACTGCAGTTTACATAAATCAGTCCTTTTGGTTTAGAACTTCCATTGAATTGTGTGTGCATTAAGAGATATTTTAACGTGTATTAATAGTATGGAGTATTTGGTAATCCATAATTTTTACTGGGCTTCTGAAGAGACCGTTTTCAGATGTTGTATTTAACTAACTTTTCTAAATGTATTAGACTCACTTCCCAGCAAGTGTCTTATTTCTAATTCTCTGTAGAATCATTTATGTTTTCAGCACAGAGCCTTGTCACAAAGAATAAACATCCAGCCTTTACCTATTCTTCAGCATGATCAGCTTGTAATTGCAAAGCATGCTGCAAATTTCCTTGTATTTTTGATAACCCTGCTGGCAGTCTTTAAGAATCAAGACAGAAGGAAAAGGAAGGACATTCAACATTAACTCCAGGGAAGTGGAAGGAAAAGAACATTTTCTGACAAGTGGTTTGCTCGTGTTAAAACGTTCCCCACACATGACTGATTTTCTTGGTGGGTACTTCCTATTCAAATCTTGAAGAGATAATAATACACTCTTGGCTACCAGTGATGTGGTGGGTGCTCTGTTACATGCATCAGGCAATAAACAAAGTATTATGTTTATTTCATAATCAAAAACATCACACATAACTAGTCTGATTTAAAAGAAAAAAAACCCAACACCTGGTTTACCTGAAAAAAATGAAATTTTATCTTAATGCTCTTCTGGCGACCCAAGAGAACGAGGTTGAATTTATGTATTAAATGTGCACCAAAATATTTTATGCAGGCAAGCAAACTATTAGATGAGGCACATATTACTTTGTATTGTTTTGCTTACCCTGTCAAAATATTCTTCATATATTCTTATATCTCTTTTGTTGCTGAAATTAGGAAGAAACCCACTGAATTAAGTATTTGTAATAGTGTAAATGAGATCAGATACATGCATCTAGTGCACATACTGACACTCAATATATAGGTGCTAAATAAAACTAGTGGGCCATAGTTAGTTCTCACAACCATCAGGCCACTTCTCCTTGCTTCATGATAACTCTCTGTTAACACCAGATTAAATGACTGCCAGTCAGTTCCCTCAGGGTGATGGAGGGCAGATATAGCAGCTGTCACACCATCCCTCTTCAACTACAGGAATCCTGGCTGTGGAAAAGAGGAAAAAATCCAGGCCATTTTAGTATCTTCACAGCTGCTGGCTTCTGGAACTTTTTCTTGGCTAATTGGTAACCATTGTAAAATGGAGCAACTTTCCAGCTCTCTTGCACTAAGGCTAGATAGCTGTGAAGGCTGAACAAAACAATTTTTCTTTCTCTGTATTCATACTTCATAGTTATGTATTTCACTTGCACAAAGAAGTAACCTCTTACCATATAGGTAAACGTCTCATCGTAAATCATAAACAGGTAATTTGGGATGATTGATCTTGACAGTTATAAGTGTCTGCTGCTAGAAATGGGAATTGCCTCTATCCATTATCGTGTGTGCAAAAATAATAGTGGATTGTGCATTCTGTAGTAACAGAAAATCATGGAATTTGAAAATTACTCAGATTTATGATCTGTGATACGCTTTAAGTTTAGCACTCTGGACTAAGTTTTTTTTTTCTGTTTTCTTATCACTAGGTTGAGAAGAGTTTCTGTGATTTCTATTGGCTTTCGATGGAAACAAATTATACCATAGCTTTTGAAAACTGTGTATATACTAACTTGAAAAGATAAAGTTGTATGACCCTATAAAAAAAAACATTTCACATTGTGATATCAGTATAAAGGAGCTTTAAGTGAAAGATAACGTACCTTTACTGGACTGTGCACCAGAAATCTTTTTCTATTTTTCTTTCTTTCTTTTTTTTTTTTTTCAGGAATTCCAGTCGATGTTGCAGTCAACATCTTCATTAACAGCTTTGGGTCAATTCAAGAAACAACTATGGTAAGGCAAATTAAATTATTATCACACACATGGAGATTTTCTCATTAAATTAAATTTCAGACTGAGGATTATGAATTGTAAAGTAGAAATGATTGTTATGATTGTAGACCCTGAGAACTGAGTTAATGGGGTTAGTGACTGATTGTGCTTTATGCCATAAACCTACTAATCTATTTCACTCTATATTTGTCCACAGATTGTTACAGCTTTTAGGATCTGATGTACATGAAAGGGCATGCAAGGTTTCTAAGATGCAAGAAATGCACTTATTTCCATAAGTTATTAAGTTCAGGGAATTTGGTAGTACGAATTAGGTAATCTTCCAGACGGTTAATATATAGGTTGCTTAGTGTATTACTAAAGAAAATAATGAGACTGTATATGAGAGAAAAAGAGCATATATGCATAAAGCTGAAGTATACAGGTTCTCTGTTTTATGTAGTTCTGAGGATAGAAGTAAATAATGGAGGAATAGAAGGACGAGGAGTACAGGTGTAGACCATCAACGACGATACTGTTACTTGTGTTTATTTACTGTGTAAGAGAGAGAAACCGAGGAATGAACATTCTAAAAATGTGTTTCCAGTTCCACCAGAAAATTTCAGAATGTCAATAGCAGCTCCAAATAATCCTCAGTATAGTTTTGATAATTTTTGTTTTTTAGGAAATAAATCTATTTCAAAATAAGAAGTAATTTCAGCGAAACACTTCCCAATGTCTTGGGACTCAAAGATCTTTTTTGCAACAGTATTTCCAATAAATACCAAAAAAATATTGCCCAAAAAGTTGCATTTGATTGTTGAAGATGTTCTGACCTGATCAGGGCTTTTCTTTTGTGCAAAAACGAAGGGAGTACACCATGTCTTGCCAGCATGTGGGAAGCTACAGCCAGAGCATGCACTCAGAGTGGGAATTCTGAGGTGCTCCCTCAGCATCCCATTTGGAAATAACATTGGTGATCTGCTGCAACCAAAGCACTGAGGCTTTTCTTAAAATCAAGCTGCCTTTTTAAATACTGTGAGTAAGGCAGCATTCATACTCATAATGGCACAGAAGAAATGAACCATAATACAGTTAATATATAATAAAACACTGTTTGTTGCTGGTGGAAGTAAATACCCACTTAAAATTCAGAACCAGCTTATGATACCCTATGACATTTCAGTAGCGTTATGGAGCTGCTCAGCACTAAACATACATGATGGTTGAAACAGCTTTTGAACTGCTTGGCCAGAAATTTCTGTTTCTTCAGCTAAGAATGAAATAAAGATTTAGATGTGATTGCAAATGATAGCAAGTCAACTAATGGCATTAGTGAGAAGTGATATTAAAACAAAGACTGTAAGTATGCTGAAGATGCCCTGAGATTTATTTCTGAAAAGTAAAAGGGGACGAAAGTTTAAAGAAGGGCAGGAGGAAGAGCAGGAAAGTAGGAGTGAGATAAGTGTCTAAGATGGCAGGTATATTAGGCCAGATGGCCCTTTCAAGTTTCTGAAATTTATTGCATGCTTTAAAAAGTGACTTTTACAGAGGCTTTTTTACAATTCACCCAGATCCAAACAGTAACAAAACATGAATGTAAGGGGTGTTCTTCCCCACCTCAAAATTAGGTATACTCACTACAGTAATGTATGCATGCTTGTCTGTGAATTCCTGATATGGTCACTCACAAGTTTACTAGGATCTTCTGTAAGAGAAGTCATGCTCTCCTCCGTATTTCAAAACTTCAGACAGCATCCTTACTTTAATGTATGCTTTTATTTAGACTTCTACATCCAGCTGATCACCATGATAGCTAAGCATGTTCATGTGAGGTTTGGATTACTTTTTGGCTGCCTCAGTGTATCAGAGGAAGAACTGACAAAAGAAACAGTCTATCTGTTCTTCGTTTTATCACTTGGGAAACCCTGCCTGCCTCAGTAGGCATTGGGTCCTGCCAACATCCAGGAACCACTGCTGCCTTGAGGCTAGGCGGGTACTTGCCACCAGATTGTATGTCTAATGTCTGGCTAAGGCTCCAGACAGGAGAATCAAGTCCCTTAGACTATAAAAATGTTGCACCTCCAGAATCACAGGAAAAGTGGTTCCTGGAGCTGAGGCATCAAGTCTGTGAAGGACCAGCAGGGCCTTTTGCACTCAAAAAGGAGAGACATTTGCAGGCAGCAACAGAACTACTGAAAAAGGTTCCTCAGTGTTGGCGAAGAGAGGGGCTGTCTCCAGCGCTGGTGTGAATTATGAAGAACATTGATTTCTTGACAGTCTCTAAAGAGACCAGAAGCTACTAAACCACTTGGAGTTCTGTCATTACTGATACCAAAATCTGTGAAATCATGTATTTCCAAGTATTTCCATTGATGAAGCATCATGATGATTCTTAGCTCTGTAGTCACTTCTGGCTGGAATAGCTGAATTCATACATTTTCAAAAAACTCTATGTGGGGATAAAGCATCCAGGTTGAGCCATGCTAAAGGGATGATTCCTTCTTTTGGTGATGGAACAGTGGGGAAAAATATCTGTCGGTTCCAGGTGATTGAAAGTGAGATGGTGGTAGAAGGCCCAACAAATGAATGTTTAGAGTGCCAGGGAGAAAAAAACACAGCATTCTGACCTCCTGTTGTTCAGAAGGATGTTAAAAGAAATGCAGAGGGAGATATCTACAACAAGATGTCCTTTACCCCACTCTTAAACCCTTCTCTGGATTTGATGTCTGGAACTTCTAACTAGTCAGCAGGCTCCCACAGTGTTCCTTGCTTTGAATCATGGTGGCTGGTTCTGATGGTTCCTCCCATATTTCAGGAATCCCAAAAACTTATTTTCAATTTATTTTTGTTTTTGCTTATTATGCTTCTGGCCCCATGCTGATTACGTTCTTAGCTATGCACTTGGCTCATCCTCAACAAAAAAAGAGTAGAGATTACCTCCCACTGAGGTAGGACCTACTTAGTTTTTAGGAGAGAAAGGAATTTCTTTATAAGAAAGCATTGACATGTTTGAAATAATATTAGTTTGAAGCAAGATAGGACCTGTAGTGTGGATCCTATGCCCAGAAGCCTGTACTGCGTTAATCAAAACCTTGTGAGGAAACTGAAGGGCACATATTTGCTCTGTGTCTAGAAAAAGTAATGTTCATATTGTGTCATCAAATACTTGAGAGAACAGAGGTGTTTTCACACACCTATCAGACAAGTTGCCTGGAAAAACTACACAAAAATTAGTTAACTATGGAGAAAATAAGGATTTATACAGCTAAAATGAAGAGCTTACACCAGAGCTGCTACCTTCTAGTAAGCTCCCTTTATCTTGACTAACTTGTTTTCTTCTAGCTCATTAGATTGCTTGTCTAGGATCCTCTTCTTCTGATTTTGCAGATGTTTTTTTAGACTGTAGGTTTGTGGAATAATATGGTGATTATGTCACATTTACAAACTGCGATAGTCTGCATGACTAGTATAGGATTCCTGGGGATAAATCCTTTCTGGGATAAATATCCACAGGGCTACAGTATTTTAGCTGTGTTGATGATCTGACCCTCTGCCTACAGAATCTATATTCAAGCTTGTAATTTCAGTGTAACCTTTTGTCACTGACTCAAATGGCAAAACAGCAATTCCTCCTTCTCCTTTACTTTAAAACCCTGCAGAAGGGTCTTTTTAATATTTATGTGTATAAAGGAAAATTTGGTTTCCTTATTTTAATCTTAAGAATGCCATTTTCTACTTTATTTGAAGACTACTATTGTGCTTCCTTTCTTTGAATGAGTGCAGTTCATGTAGAAAAAACCTTTCATGATTTCCTGTTTGCTCCAGTTTGCAGAGAGAGATCTATTGGCTATGTTGAGTTGCTGGCCCAAGGAGTGGTTCTGGCTGCACGTCCACTGTTTAGTAGGTTGAATTTGAAACACTTCCTAGAATGCCTCATCTTTCAACCTCCCTGCAAACAGCTTGCCTTCTGTTGGAGTTTAATGGGAAAACAAAGCCCTGTAGAATACTTCTCTGATTCTTTTTATCTGCCAGGTCCTCCTAGCTCTAATGTGATGAATACCTCCTTCATTCCCTCCCCTGGTTTCAGGCTTTTTGATTGCTATTTGACCCTCCTTTATTATAAAATGCTGGTTATTCTGCAATATTCAAAGAATGTTTGTAAAATGCATAGGAAGAAGACTATATGCTTCATACAGATCACTTCTGCCCCTCTTGAGCCTAACTGTAGTGTACGTTCTGAATCTTAAAATTCATTGCCCAAATTTGAGAGAACTGGTAGCAGACATCTTTCAAAATAGATGTATTCCAGATATTAGTCTATACTGCTGCCAGATGCTGTACTAGTTCATGTTCTTCAAGAAGAAGCCCTTCTGCACATCTTTGGCTAGCCACAGTTTTGTATCCTGACATCTCTTTGCTTCCTTCTGCATTTTCTGTGTTGTCTCAGGTATGTGGCAGCCTTCCTATCCAAGTACCCTCTGTCAGAAGCCTTGTCCTGGCTTCAGCAGTAGCAGTCAGTTTTCTCCTTCTTAGTAGCTGGTGCAGTGCTGTGGTTTTGACTTTTGGACTGGGAACAGCACTGATAACACCGATGTTTTTAGTTGTTGCTCAGTAATGTTTACTCTGACCAAGGACTTTGTGAGTCTCATGCTCTGCCAAGGAGGAGGGGAAGCCAGGAGGAAGCAGAGACAGGACACCTGACCCAAACTAGCCAAAGAGGTATTCCATACCACAGCACATCATGCCCAGTATATAAACTGGGGACAGTTACCCGGAAGGGCTATATCACTGCTCGGGCGGGCTGGGTATCGGTTGGCAGTATCGGTGGTGAGTGGTTGTATTCTCTCTCCTTGTTATTTCCCTTTTCATTATTATTATTGATGGTAGCAGTAGTGGTTTTATGTTATACCTTTGTTACTGGGCTGTTCTTATCTCAACCTGTGGGAGTTACATTCTTTCGATTCTCCTCCCCATCCCTCTGGAAGCTGAGGGAGGAAGGGGGGGAGTAGTGAGCTGAGTGTCTGAGTTTAAACCATGACAAGCCTCTAGTCATTTAGGTAGGTCTGAACCTACCTATTTCACGTTAAGGGGATTTTTCTTCTATTGACTTAAATTGGAAAAGTTCAAGTTCTTAAAATATTGCAACATCCCATTGTTTGGTATATTTTAAGTTCATTTGTAATAGAGCATGGAAGAAAATAAAATAGCATCCACCTGATCTTACTTCCAATTCTTATTTTGCCAGTGCATTCTGCTTTTCAGTGATGTAAACATCTCCTTCTGAATGGGTAAGCTGAAAGCAAGTGCTGGACACTGCTTATCATTTGCCTATGGCTTTGAGAAGGCATCTTATTTTCTTAGAATTAGGGTAACGCATTTGTTTATGGGGATATTAATTTTGGTGTGATGAATAATGTCATGCTTGTGAGCATGCACAATATGCAGTATTTATCTCATAAGGTTTAAAGTAATTGTTTTAGCTGAGACAAGAAGTGCATTTGGAATGGGAACTTCAGCAAGAAGCAAGTAAAGTAAATTTTCAATGATATACATGTAATTGAAAATACACTTTCCGAGATAATTACCTGAATTCCCTCCTGTTATGAAGCTTTGCTGTGAGAGGCTTCCAGTACAAAGTCACTTCATATTAACTACCGTTTTATGCTTCATCTTTACTTTGACAAGATAATATAGGACTTTGTATAAATAAGAGTCACACTACATATATTTTTTCAAAACCAGACTGCCAACAAGTAACATGTCTCTAAGAACCATGCATATTAATAAATATTGCTTCAGTTCTTTCTACTTGGTTTTGATGCTTTGCTTTTCCTTACAATGCAGTAGGAAAAATATTAAGCAGTATAGTGTAATAAAGTAATGCCTGGGCTGATCTGACTGGTGGACTGGACATGGGAAAGTGGGCATTGTATTCTGAGAAACAGGGTAAATCAACAGGGTAAGTTGTTCTGCATGAGGTCTTAGACAAGTGAATGCCTTCCTGTTGAAGTTAGCATGCCTGTCTCAACATGGCACTTGTGTTGGACTGTAAATGTGTACATTGTAGTAAGTGCAACAGATGAGAAGTCACATTGTATCAGCAGAAAAATGTGTAAGACATGTAAAATAAACGTGTTACATTAACATGTAAAATAAACATGTTAATGACATGTAAAATAAACAACTTTATAAAATTATCTTGATATGCAGAACCCATTGACAAACAAAACATATGTTGAGAACCTTCACCCACAGATTTCTAACATTTTGATATAAATGTATAGCAGCAGCAGTGTTTTCAGTGCTGTAAAGAACACAGCCCTTTCTCTGGATGCTTTGTACCTGACAAAAGGAAAAGAACAGAACACACTATAGAAGACAACTAGGAAGACTGCAGATAGATAGAAGTTATCTTACACATAGAATTTTGGTTTGTTTGTAGGACTTTCCTTATTTTATTTCAACAATAAATACCTGCAACAATAAATACCTAACAATAATACTTCAGCAATACCTTTATTCCTTTTCTGTATGCAATCTGCCTTGTTTATATATACATTAAAAAGAGGCACTGGCTTAAATGTAAATGTAAAAAGAAAAAAGACTTAGAGGTAAGACTGAAAAATCATAACTGACATACTGGGTCAGATTTTTCCTTTGGGTGCACAGAGCTTTCACTAAGGATAGAACACGTGTGGGTATCATTTTGCCCTGAGACACATGCTACTTCAATTCCCAAAGGCAAAATCAGGTTCTCATTGAGCATGGCTCTGCTACTGTCCATCCTTGAGCAAGAGTCCTGCAGAATCTGGAAGGAAGTTTTCTCTGTGTGAAGCCTGGATTTTGTCTCTGTTTAAGGCCCATTCTTTTACTGCTTTCATACATGATGCCTCAGTACTTGTGTTGCAAACTGGTATCAGTTTTCCTCGGTTTCTAAAAGAGTCCCAAATCGCTGTTACAAAGTCTGAAGCCATATTCTGGGTGTGTATTGTAAAACCTGTTATCTATCTACCTGGTCTATTTTCTGCTTTTATAGTGTGATATTTTCCTATCAGTGTGCCACTTAACCAGATGGAGAATAAGATGGAATTTACACTCACAGGATATCCTTATTGAAGTGGTATCATGCCTGCTGCCTGCAGCAATTTCATGTAGTCAAGCTATGGCCTCTCTCTGCCCTGCTGCATGTTTTTCTCTATGCCTAGGTAAAAGGGGGCTACTGTCAAAGGGATGCATAAATCATTCAGGGGGACAATTTGGTCCTTTTAAAAAAAAGAAAATTGTATTCAAAACATGAGTGAGACATAATCTACCTAACTGTACTAAAACCTATTAAACTTAGCACTTATTAATGTTGTTTGAATAGCGATTATTATCTTTGTGTAGAAAATATCAGGGCATAAATTGTTTTTCTCTTCAGAGTCTGATAGAATGGTTTTCTTTCTCCATGGGTTTTTGGCTAGACTTCAGCTAGTCTAATATTTATTTATTCTTCCTGTCAGGATTATAGAGTCAACATCTTTCTAAGACAGAAGTGGAATGACCCCAGACTCAAACTTCCCAATGATTGGAGAGGTTCAGATACACTGACAGTGGATCCAACTATGTTTAAATGCCTCTGGAAGCCAGACTTATTCTTTGCAAATGAAAAGAATGCTAACTTCCATGATGTCACACAAGAAAATATCCTTCTTTTTATATTTCGGGATGGAGATGTCCTAGTCAGCATGAGGTATTTTATTGACCTATTTCTACTCTTTTAAGTGAATTGATATCAGATATATATGCTGCGTTAGTAATATAATACAGTTTATGACTAATATTTCAATTTATATGACAGTTTGTAAACAGTACCACAATAAATTAAATGTGTGTAAAGAAATCAGATGAAGATGTTTTAAAGCATGTCATTTGATAGCATAGCAGGTATTAGAAATTTGAAATGTATGTAGGCTATCTGAAGTAAAGCCTTCAGCAAAATAATATAATTTGCACATCACTTGAACTCGAATTTCTACATCAGCCAAAGAAAGAGGTGGTTACTTAGTCATGATAGAGTGCGTGCAGCTTAGCCATGGCACTCCTTGCTGCAGGAAGCGGTGAGTGATTAAAGCATACATGGATAGCAAAAAGCAACTGGAAGCAAAGCATCTTATTGGACAGGAATAAAATTTTTCAAGGTCCTTTAAATAGAGATGCATCACTTCCAGTTTAGGAAGTCCATGAGATGTAACTTCTGGTAGGCTGCTGGATATCTAGCACAATATTATTCCTGATTGCTGTAGTCTCATATTCTTCTTCAAGAGTCTGCCACTGGCCACTGTTGGAGACAGGACTCTCTTTTGTATGGACCTTTGGTTTGGTTATTCTTATGACCTATATGTATTTTTGTCACGTATTAGTAGGTCTCTGATTTGTGAACTACTATATGTTTAAAAGTCTGTATAAAATTTTATTCTCAGACTAATAGAGGTAGCTCAATTTTAAACTGTTACTTATCATAAGTTTAATTTTTTCTGCTATTTTAGAAGCTGAAAATCAAATACCTGAATTTTGTTTTCTTACTGCTGTCTACTGTTTGCATGGCAGCTCACACTGTTTTTAAATTCTGTTTCTGTATTTTCAGATTGTCTATTACTCTATCATGCCCTTTGGACTTGACCTTGTTTCCTATGGATACACAGCGCTGCAAGATGCAATTGGAAAGCTGTAAGTAAATCAGTCTATGCATGAAACCAGTTGCCTTCTAAAAATGTGTGAGAATCAAACAAAAATTGATCAATTCTGTATTGTTTGTGTCAACATTTTAAATTAAAATAGTCTTGAAAATAATCTTCACTGGTTCCTACCAACATAGATTTCCCTATCAAAAATGGCTTTTATGGTTATGGCACCATGCACTCTGTTTTTAGCTTTTGCTATCAAACATAATGACAACTGATGACTTTTACAGAAACTTTTACAATAAAGTTAGTAAAATGGAAACACGCGTCATTTGGGAAAACGAATCCATGGTTTCCCTAAGTAGTTTTAACTTCCACAACTTGTGCTGCTCTCTATTATCCCCTTGCACTGAGAACGTATTGCATTGTTTGAAACTCTTTTGATATGGTGCTGAAGGAAAAGTATATGATGCCAATGCATTCAGAACATTTAGTATGAAACCTTTTGAAAGTGGTTTCAAGATGTATTGTAGATGTAGTCAGGTATCTCTCCTTTACCAGTCTGGTCTCTAGGTGATTTGATCTTACAAAGGGGCAGCCAGATCTTGTCTGTGAAGGGCTTCATGCCATGCTGGAAGTTGCAACCAGAATGTTTCTGAAAACCATCTGTTTTCTTGCACCCAAGTAGAAGGGTGCCTGCACAAGTACAGCCTTTTCCCAACACTGATCCCTGATAATCCCACTTTCATGGCAATTCTGATTTCCTGAGTAAGGACAAATGTGAAGCAGGGAGAAGGAAGGTGGCTTGCTCCAGCCCATTCCTGCTATAATACAAAAACTTTGTCGAGTTGTTAAATCCACCAGTTCTGGTGGGGAAAAAGGAGGTTAGGGAAGGCAAGACAAATGAGAAGAAAGAGGAAATTTAATCAAAGCTGAGCAGGGCATCCCAGTAGGAATAAGGGTAATAATAATGATATCAGAGCTGTACAATTTAGTTTTTGATTGCCAGCATTTACCTCTAGAATCGTAGTATGTCCGTAGCAGTTTAGCCCATCACTAATATATATATATATGTTAACTGAAGTAAACTCTTACAGTAAACACAAATATGTTTGGGGTTAAACTGGAATTAGGCAGTAATACTAATGGAAGAATTGCTCAAAAAAATCTCAATAACTGTTATTTAAACACTTTTAAATGTTAATTTAACAATGACAGTTTAACAACTGTCTCTCTCCATGCTAAATTGCTATCCTATATTCAAATTCAGGAGGAATTTTTTCCTTTAGAAACACAACGTGCACTAAATTTTCTTCTACCTTTTAATTCAGTTGTCAAAAGGAAGAATTTTGTCAAAAATAAGAACCCTCCAGATCCAGCAGTGCTTTCCCTGTTAGCCATTGGCAGTTTAATTTTACCTATTTTCAAATCAATATTTTGTTTCTAGTTGCTAGATTTTCAAATCAAAAAAGACCATCAGCTTTTGCTGGGCTTCTCTCTTATCTATAGTTATGATCCCCAGTTCTACACATTCCGTATAGACAAAATTTTCACTGTCCAGTAATTGATATCATAAAAGATCTTGGCAGACTTGTGATTTGATGTGTGTTGTAAGGGGGTGAGACGGATTTTATGAATGAAGCTTTAAAACAACGGATTTTATTTTTTTTGCATTATTTTCCTTCATGGAGCTTTGACAAATTGTGATTTTTATTAAGTTTTTCTGAATCTTAGAGAAGCTTATGACCATTTCACCTTTTTTCATCACAGCTGTTTTTCAAAGATTAAACCCCCACAACTGTCTAATGCCTCTGGGAAAAGAATGGTTCTTCTGTCAGAGACTGAAATGCATTCCAACTCCATCTTCTTCATGTTTCCCCATATTTGTTTCCATTTAACCCACAGTATCTCTGAATTAATTTAATCCTTAATAAACAGAAGGTAGCAGAAAAAAAAGGCATGTAAAATCATTATTATTTTATCCCTATTTAATCAATATTGCTTTATGCTTGAATACTGTGAGCCTAACTTTCACTGCCTTTAACTTGGTGGTGTTCTATATATCATGATTCAGACACTCAGATGTATGATGAAGTCTGTCAATACTCAGGAGATGGTGAAGCCACTGAACTGATTTCAGTGGGACTACACATCTACTTAATTTCCTGGTCAAGTATTTCCTGAATGGCAGTGCTTTCATGAACCAGGGCCTTTAATCTCAACAATTAAGCAGAAAGGTTGTTTTACACACAAAAAAAGATTCATCACAGTAATTGAGTTGTTAAATTCTTTTGAAGTTACTAGGACTTGTGAGTGCTGTTAAAGTTCAGTATATTTTTCATGCTTTGCTGAAGTAGAGTTTGAATGAATAGGGAGGCTTCAAAGCTGCAGAGAATAGAGCTTTGCTTTCTTTGTTTAAACAGTAAGCACTGTAACAAACACCTTTTAATCAGTGTAATATAGCAGATAATGTAGAGTTTCACCCACCAAGTCCTAATTTAGGCCTACATTTAAAAAAATGTGGATGATTATTTAGTTTTTGTATTTAATTTTTTAATAGGAAATAGAAAATAAAAGTGAAAGAAATATAATGCTTTTATGCTAGATTTCCTTGCAGAGTTTGCTCTGAGAGAGTTCTTTAAACTACTGTTATTTTGTTCTTGTAGTTGGTTACACAACTGATGACTTACGGTTTATCTGGCAGTCTGGAGATCCTGTACAGCTAGAGAAAATTGCTCTGCCTCAATTCGATATTAAAAAGGAGGATATTGAATATGGTAACTGTACCAAGTACTATAAAGGCACAGGTAGGTAATAAAAATTATTACCTTGGTAAAAAACTTGAAGTTTTCTTCAATTACTGTTTATAGTTAATGGTTAATATTCCAGTTCTTGTCTTACATTTCATGTGATAAAATAGATTAACTAACAAGTAGTTCATATAATAGTAACTGTCATATGTGATTACTGCAGACTAATTAAAATATGGAATCATCTAGGTTGAAGATGAGATTAAATGTTTGCCTTGGTTTTGCTTACATGTCTTGTGTTCTTACTGTCACCAAGGTGTTTCTGTAGTCCCAATATCTAGAGACCAATACCATATAGTCCCAATACCAATAGACCTTGTGAGTGTCTAACTTTTCTGAAAGGATATTCACACTGAATTATGCCAGTTGAAGTAAAGTAAGATAATTTCGGTTTTCTAGTTCAACTTTTATTGCAGAAGTGGATAGCGATAAAGTATAACTTCAGGTGCTTCACCCTGCAGGTTCTTCTCTTCAGTGTCGTGGAAAGTCTGTCATTATAGAAAGCTGCTTACAATCCTCAGCCCTGTATTAATTTAATCCTATGATTATTTTCTGAGTGTGGGCACAAATTTATCCAACTATTTCTGTACTCTGGCTTTCAATGACATAAATATTATCTCATTAATTTTGAAATAAAAAATATCTCAAAAATATCTTTTTATTTTCTACTTTGATTCCTGCTATAATTATATCCAAACTACTCACATATTGTGGCAACTGCAAGAATTTCTACGACAACAGAAAGCAGCAGGATATATTTTAGTCAGTGCTTTTGCATCATATGAATAAATCTTCCATTAAAACTCAACGAAGATGGCTGTAGTGCTGCATCTTCTGAGGATGCTGTCCAAGTTTCTTATTTACTATCCAGCTGAAGTTTAGGGTCTGTTACTTGTAGTTGTTCCTAAACTATTTCCCAAGTCTGAAGAGATCTCAAGTAACCTTAGCAGATATCAGAGTTAAGGGATTTAGCTTGAAAAGGATAATGAAAATTGAAATTAGGCTTGTTTTTTGACAGCAAAATGAGTGAGTTCTTATCCTAACTCCGTAGTTCAGCATGTCAGGTGATATACCATTTGTAAATAATAAGAAATTGTCTCTCATTAGGAAAGTTTTGCATTTGTGAAAACACAACCAACTGACAATGACTACATTAAAATCTAGGTTAGGATATTGCAGAAACTTGTTTATCAGTAAGAAATATTTTATTCTTAATTAAACAATGAATTCACTGAAAGAAATAGGCTACAAAGTAGTGAAAAATTAAAGGAATGGATCTTTCAATTCCCAAATAAAATTAATACAAATAGGAAAGTTGGAAAACTTACTTTTTCCTCGTATTTGAGGGAAAACCAAAACACTTACTCAGAATTGCTTCTTGTTACGGAAGTTAATTGTGATCATTTTGAGTTTTGCCCTAAATCTAAAATTAAATATCTAAAAAATCTGAAGGTATTTTAGGCATTTTAGAAGCCTTAAAGAAAATAATTCTACATTTTACTATTAAGCAGGAAAGAAAATCAGTAGTGTTCTCTCAAATTTAAGCACCTTTTGACCACAAGTTGAAATGACACCGTACTCAGTAAAATGGTCACATGTTGTGTGTATGTATGTGATTTGAACGTTAAAGGAGGAACATGAAAGAATCATCAGAGGAGTGCAGTAACAACATGAAATTTGAAAATGTTTTCCTTCCTAATTCTATAATTGCAAATCCTTTTCTGTTTAAAAATTAAGAATATCCTTGTTAATCTCATAATCAAGACTGGAATTATTTCTTCATTAATGTGAATGGAATATTTTGGTACTCTGATGTATTTTAGAGTTTTTTTTGAGTAGTTAGCAGTTGTTTCATTTACTCTAAGTTCTTACATTGAAGGTATATTACAGGTTTTGCACACATAGTTAAAATTAATTCTCCTAAGGATTTTGTCAGGTAATCAAGAAGCAAATACTCAAAATTATAGCATATGGAAGAGATTCCTGCCAATTTCAAAGTACTTAATCTTTACTGACTGTTTACGTCAACTGACATTTTATCATACTTACCTAAGAAGGAAGAGGGTCAACAAATTTGGAGTGACTTTTTGTGGCAAAAAGTTGAATATTTAAGTTTGCAAATTGCCTATTTGTTTACCAATATGTGGGACAGAAGCAAATAGGTCCTTGCAAGCCCTTGAGAGCAATAGATACTGTTCTCTGCCTGATGAATGATTATTCAAAGCCATACAGAATGCATTTCTGGTCTAAGGCAGACATAATGATTTTGAAGATCATCCCTCATTTTGAAAATAAAACCTAAAGGTATCTGGAAACTATTAAGAAATTATAGAGGGAAACTTTATCAGACAAAAGATCATTGAATAGAATAGAATTAACTATAAAATACCATTTGGTATAGCCTTTTACACAAGGAAATGTTTCCTTAAGTTTGGTTTTTTTTGCTATTGTGTGCCCAAACAGCACTTTTAAGATGACTTGTCACTTTATGGCACTTAGTTGATAAAATTTAGAAGAGAAATAGATATATTTTAGACAGATTCTATCTTCTAACTCAGCTTTGCACCAGCTTTATTTACAGATATAGACTTATCTGAATTTTGAAGTTGTAATAAAACACAGGAATGTATTTTTCTTGTGATACAGTAGTTTATGACATTGTTTTTGCAATGCCAGTTCTGCTAATTGAATAAAAATATGAACAGAATTTGTTTTTTGGTTGTCACACTTCCTGATCCGTCTGTTACCTCCAGTAAAACCTCTATTGTCTGCAGCTTTTTTTTTATTGAATTCATCTTAACAGATACCTTGGGAAATGTTTGTGTGCTTTAAATCCTTATTTTAAAAGATTTGAGGCAGTATTCCTTGTTTTCAAAATTTACAGTGTCTTTAAAGTCTTTTTGAATTTTAAAAGACTGTACCAATTTTAGAAGTCTCCTATACCAACTTTCAGTACTGGGGGAGTATCTGCTTAGAGTCACATTCAGATCACCTCTTTCCATTCTGAACTTTCTACACTAATATTTCTTAATTCCATCTTTTGCACAAATTACTGCTAAGTAGGCTTTTCAGATGAGCTTCAGCTAGTATGACTGCCAGACCCCATTTATTTTATCTGGACTGCATCTTGAAGCCAACATCAAGATGAGGGTCACTTTAACTGCCTGTTACTGATGTGCTGTGAAAAGACAGAGGGAGCCCTACAGAGCACAGAGAGTAGTATATGCCTGACTACACTTGGTGGTTATACAGATGTTTTACAGTGTTTTGAACATTTTTTTCCAAATTGAACCCTTTGCCATTATAAAGAAAATCAAGTCATTGAACTTTTGCTCTTAACTTACATAGAAAAAGGCCTGGAAGATAAGGATCGGAAGAGGTTGACCTGCAAAGCACATTAAACATTAATGCATTTATTTCTTTGAAGGTTATTACACTTGTGTAGAAGTAATCTTCACTTTAAGAAGACAAGTTGGATTTTACATGATGGGTGTTTATGCTCCTACACTGCTAATTGTTGTTCTGTCCTGGCTGTCATTTTGGATCAATCCTGATGCAAGTGCTGCAAGAGTCCCACTGGGTAACCTGCGTTTATGCATACTGTCACAATCCACTTTAACGCCATTGAGTCATTCTCAGTTGCTTTGACAACATGACACTGGACACTGAAAGCAACTTCACTTCCATTATCTGCTCATCACTTTCACTGAAACGTCCTCATTTCTAGTCCTGTAAAATCCACCTCCTCACTAAGACTTCACTTGATAATGGTTACAGTGCTTGTGTAATAAGCACACTGTCTCTGCGCCTCTCAATCCAGATAAAAACATCTCATCCATGTATGGGTGATGCTGCAGACACTTTGGCAATATGCAGGTTATAGGAATTTGAACAATTGAATAATGACTTAGAAAGCAGGATAATGAGCAAGGGTGTAAACAGCTACTTCTTGAAGCAGTGTTTCTGAAGATAAATAGAAACAGAGTGATGTCTGGAAAAGAATTAGCATCCTTGTTACCTGATTGGTTTTATTTCATTAGAGACTCAGTTCATGAGAGTGCTTCAGGCTTGTGTGCTTGTGCTGCTGAGCACAACACAGTAGGCAGGCCCTTCACTTATTATGAAATAGTAGGGGACAGAGTTAATCAAAACAATATTATCTTGACTAATTGGATTATACGTGGTTCTCCAGCTCTGGGGTGGCCAAACCTGCTGACCCCAAGAGTTCAATGAAATGCAGAGGCAGGCTCTTGCATCCTGACACTTCACCTATTTGCATTCCTTTCCCCATGCCATGACCTCCCCTTTCCCATGCTCTGGCCTCCCCATGCTCCCCTTTCCCTGGCATCCCACCTCCCCAAGTCCATACTTTCCAAATCGTTTCCACGTCCCAGGAGTTTCAGCGCACCTTTTGTCAGACCCCAGTGATGCAGTTTCAGAGTCCCTCCAGCCACCTGTCTTCCTCAGAAACATCTCACCCAGACTTTAACCTCCGCACCCCCACAGGACATGACTCCTGTGCAGTCTCAACTGCATGAACGTGTGTCAATAAGCACCAGAGACCCTTGGAGTCAGGACTTGCCACATCATCTGGTAGCTGAAATTGGTGTGTTGAGAGCCAGCTGGAGCAGATACGATGCCAAGTTTTGTTACCTGGAAAAGCATCCACACACCTCCTGGCCTGAGCCAGTCTCAGGTCATCTACCATGCCTCTTCCTCCTGTGGTATGACAGGCAAAATAAAATGACAGCCATAAATCCCTCACAGTTTAAGAAAGTCGTGAAGGTTCTTGAATGCATCCAGAGGAAGCTGGTGAAAGGGCTAGAAGGCATGTCCTATGAGAAGGACTTTAGGCTTGTCTAGTTTGGAGAAAAGGAGGCTGAGGGGTGACCCCATTGCTCTCTACAGCTTCCTGAGAAGTGGAGAGGGAGGTGTCTCTTCTCCCTGGTATATGGTGACAGGACACATGTCAATGGCTGAAAGCTGCACCAGGGGAGATTCAGACTGGGCATTAGGAAGCATTTCTTTACCAAGAGGGTGCTCAAGCACAAGAATAGGCTTCCTAGAGAGGTCATCAATGCCCCAAGCCTGTCAGTATTTCAGAGGCAAATGGACAATGCCCTTTACAATATGTTTCAGCTTATGGTAAGCCCTGAATTGGTCAGGCAGTTGGACTAGATGATCATTATAGGTCCTTTGCAGATGAAACAGTCTCATCAGTTTTAAAATCTGGAGAACTGTGACTGGAGTGCTACTTGCGGCTTGTGAGCCCCAGCTGGCTACCTTGCTCTACTTAAATGTAACAAAACCATTTTGTTTATTGTATCTTTTTCCTATTGGTCTATTTTAGAACACAAGCCTGCTTTTTTTTGCCTTTTTTTTTTTTTTTTTTCCCCCTGTGGACCTTTACAGATATTAACAGTTACCTGGGGAGGGGTCACAATCTGTATTAACTTGATAGCAAGTAACAAATGAAATCTGTAACCTTGAAAAGTAGCAAGGGTACATTCTAGAATGTGAAACATAACACAGTGTAAGGAAAAGAAAGTGTGGCGAAAATGTAGCATGCATTAAATTAGAAAGATGATAGAAATGCAAACTGGAAATACTTTTCACACAGTGAGCTGCAATATGATAAAACCCTGAGCTTTTATAATCCTGTACTTCCAGGAGTCAACCAGACAGGCTTATTAGTTAGACATTAGATCTATATGAGGCATAGTGCTGATTTATGTAACATGGATGTCTTTGTGACTAAACATGCATGCTTATTTATTGTTTATTTGCGTCATCTATTATAAGTGTTTATTGGTTCCTTTTCTGTATTAGCATTTCTGCAATAATACATTTTCAACAATACTAACCATTGGCCTGGTTATGTGGCTTTTCCTGAATTCCCAGAGAAGACAAGACCTCTAAATCTCACCATGCTTTAATCATGAGTTGTTATTTAGTAACGCAAGTTGTTAAGCTTGTCACTGGGTAAGATTTATGTTTCTGCAGTTTGCAGGCGTGCAACAAGCTAACTATTCTCGCTACATCCTTGGAGGGAGTTGACCTTGAAATTTAACAAGATTAACAGTTGTTGTGTGTAAAGTGAATGAGACCTAATCCCAAGTGTTCCCAATGGCCACTGCACTCTCAATATCTAGATACAGATCTCATCAGACGAGAAGCTACTTCATTTGCTTACAAATATCTTAATGCAGTTGTATGTAGACTTAAATATAGTGGGCTACTACTCCCCATGGCAAGGCATCCCAAAAGTTTCCAGGTGATTTAGGAATACAAGACACTCTGAATGCCAGTATGCAGATATTTTTGTAGACTGATCAGTGTTCTAGGAAAAGAGTGTATGTTTGTTTGAAGAAAAACCTGTGTCTATGTAGGAACAAAATAAGTTACTAAGCTTTATTGATACCTGTATCATTACAACCAATTAGGTCATCTGGTGGTAAGGAAGTCCACAAAGGTCTGGTATCTGGCCAAGCGACATATCTAAGAACAGCTGTGGCTAAGCAACATGAAGACTGATACCACTAAATGCTTCTGTCAAATTAAATGCTGGTGTTTTGCCTTTTAATGAGCCCAACAGAAGACTCACAAGTTCTTTTCAGTTGGAAAGTGTGCTATCATCCATTTAAAAAATTCTTGTCCTTCCCTCACCGCTTTGTGATCCCCAAGTGGAGTGAGATCTTCCCTGGAGCTGTAAGGACTGGGTGGATGTCAGACTTCTGTCCCCTCACAGTGGCCTTAAAGGGTGGAGCATTAATCCAGGGTGCAGGCAGGGGCACAGCAGGTAGCTGAAAGCCTGGAGTAGTGATCAGTGATATATTCCCCACGTAGAAAGGACAGCTAGCTCTGCAGCAGACATGGCACCCCCATCACTCCTGTCCTCAGTTTTAGACGTTTCATTTTATAAAATGCAACAAATGTAGGGTCTCAAAGGAAAAAATAAAGGTTTATGCTAAAACTGTAGTATGAAGAAGGTTAACGAGATTTTGTGGTTTAGTTTATGAAGTTTAATGGCATAACATGTTAGAGGTATCAAGTTATAAGGAAGACAGAATATTACTTTTTTCAATACCATTAGTGAGATGAAGTCAGACATTTTTAAAGCAGTAATATAAACCAGATAATATTTTTTATACATATACAGTGCATAATTCACCTGTGGAATTCACTGCCAAGAGGTAGTGCTGAGGCTAGAGAGTTTGATGGATTCAAAAAATGGGAGATTTATTTATCTGGCAGCTTGTGCTGAAATCCTTTGCTGGACTGGCATTTCCAGATATTATCCACATGTAACCTAGGTAGTATTTTTAAAATAGTAGCTCTCTGTAGTCATGTTTTAGGCTGGGAGTTAACTAACCTCACTGATAAGCTAAACTTTTCCATTGAGAAGGATGCCACACTAGGGGCAAAAATGCAGAGATATTTCCTAGAAATGCTAACGCTCCCTTTACTTTGCAAGTATGTCCCTTCTCTTTAGAGCTTCCTGAGACGAAAAGGGGGAATTTCTTGTCCCTTTATTTTTATTTTTAATAAATAATCTTGCAGTTTGTTTGTTCATTCTCACTCATGTTTGAGCCTTGAGCTTTGGACTGTGTTAGATAGGTATCTAGTGCAGCTGCTGCCAGATGTGTGACTTACAACTCTGGTGCTAGGGTCTCGGAGGCCGTACCAACTCTGGTCTGGCAGCAAAGAATTGCTTAATAGACTATTTCTATACTTCTATCTCCCTTCATTGTTACCTTGAAAACTTAGAAGTTTCTCAGACTCTGAGAATAAACTTTCCATCCTAGGAATCCAGACAAGTGGAAATTAGCATCAGGTCACCACAACCTCAATTGCTCTACTGAGCAAATAGATGAAAGATCCACTAACATCTTCTCAGCTGGTAGAATTTGTAAATTAGTTTTGTAGGATTAAGTCCAAGACTGTAAGGTCTACTATTTTAAGCTCTACAAAGTAATTGTACAATTTTTTTCAGCACCAGGCATGATAATAATACGCACATATTAAGATAGTGAACACTATTAAAATTAGTGGGAAAAAATTACAATATCCAAGATGTTGAGCCAATCCTTATCATTGGATAATTTGGTTATTCAGGGTAAGGGTAGAGGCTGCCTTTCAAGTCTAGCATAGACATGCTAGACTTGATACAGTGTTTGATACATGGTGCTTGATACAGTACACCGATAGGGAATGAACAGCAAGCTAGGCATAAGCAGAGGTATATATATGTTAAGAGGCAGTACAGCCTTGTTTGTACTTGTTATTGTAGATCCTTATGGTCCATAATTAGTTTTCATCCCCAGACAGCTGGTGTTGGTCAGTGAAAATAAGTTTTCTAAAAAGGGGACTATTCTGTGCTTTCTGTCCTTACGGGAATGTGTGTACTTGGATGCTTCAGATACAGTACATGAAACATAAGCCAGAGCGGACAGCGAATATTGTCTGTGTTCAGTATTTGCCATGTCATTCTGATCTAACACATCTGGCAATTCTGTTATCCCAGTGGACCAAAAAAAAAAACAACCCCAAAATCAAATAAAGTAACATACCAATCTCATTAAAATCCAAATGGAAACAGTAGCAATAGAATGACGTGTTATTTATGATCAATTAGAATTGAATACTTTTATAAGACAGTACAGATACTTTCAATATTAGTAACATTTTCACATCCTCAGTTACTTAAAATGAATCTGAAGAAAATTATCTTCCATGAATTAAAAAACTTTTCAGGCTTTGAATAGCATGTCAGAAATACAAGAAACGTAGTTGAGACTGAGTATCTCCTTTTGCCAACATTTTCTATAGACATCAATTACATTTCATGAAGCTGCCCACTCATAACTAAAGATTTTTATCATTAACTTTCAGAAAACCAAAATGGGACTAAGTTTTCCCCACATTACAGCCATTTCTGAAGTTGTCTTTTTCCAAATGTAGCTGTTCTTGCTACTGTTTCCATTTCATAGCAGCCTGTGGGAAATCTTCTTGTGAGATCAGGCTTCTATTTTGTCTCTTGTGATGTGAACATTTGGAAGTCTTGTTAGAAGAAACATTTGTTGAAACCCAGTTTGATGATGAGTGTGACCTTTCAACAGCCTTTGCAGATGTGTTTGTTTTATCATGATAAGGGCTTCCTGAAATGCCCTGTATCTAGAAAGCTTCCTCTAAATCCTTGAAGCTCCAGTAGGGAATGATGGTAGGCCCTCAGTCACCTCTGTGTTTTTATCTTCACAGTGAATCGAGAACACAGACTTTTAATGTGCTGTTACAGCTTTGCTCTTCAGCAAAAGCTTCTCTTTCATCTAAGGCTTTCATAGCACATTTGTGGACAGGTCATGCAGAGAGTCACTCCTGCTGTAGCACAGTTCAGATTTCCAGGACAGCAGTAGTGTAATTTAAGGGACTTGGAGTCTTTTTGTTTAAGTATCATGTGTTTCTCTTCCACCTTCCCAGACTTACATACATGTTGTAAGATAAGTCTTTGGAAGGCGCATGTCAAACCTGTGTGATGTGTGACAGGACAGGAAAGCCACGTCAACCAATTTAGCGTCATTTATTTGTTTCTTTGTTTTTAAAGTGAAGGTACTCGTTATTAATAATTCATTATTAACTGCAAATCCTACCTAAGTATTCAGTTTAACTTGTTCATTAACTGAAGGCATGTGCACTTCACACTTCTGCTGCACGAACCACATTGCGAAGTCCCATTCCTTTTATGAAACATCATTCAGTATTGTCTGTTTCAGAGAGCACAGCCAGTGGCAGTAAATGCAAGCTCTCTTTAATCAATACTTTGTTTTTTTTCTCATAGGTATTTTCTCAGTGCTCAGCTTGGCATCTGAATGTACCACTCTTGCTGCTGAACTTCCCAAAGTGTCTTATGTGAAGGCCTTAGATGTCTGGCTGATTGTTTGCCTTCTCTTTGGGTTTGCATCCCTGGTGGAGTATGCTGTGGTTCAGGTAATGCTAAACAATCCAAAGAGAATTGAAGCTGAAAAAGCAAAGATTGCCAAGGCAGAGCAAGCGGAAGGGAAGGGTGGAAATACAGCCAAGAAGAACACTGTGAATGGTACAGGGACTCCTGTCCACATCAGCACTTTACAGGTAGGAGCTGTGAAGCTGTGTATGCAAAATCAGCATTATCCACTATTAATTCAATTCCAGGAACATACTGTCTTAACAGTTTTAGATAGTGCTTAATCTTGGAAGTAGCCAAGACATTACAAACATGCTGGTAATTAATGGCCAGCAATCTGACCAATTGGTCCCTAGCAATTTGAGGTCATACGTACTAAATGAAAAATTTGCCTTTTAATATCCTAGCACCGTGGTTGCTGCTGAGCTTCAGGTAAATACAGTAGCAAGCCAATTTACAGTTGGTGTTCTTCTCATCATAAATAGCAGCTGTCAAACAGTAACTATTCAGAGGACAGGACTCTCGGACAGTATTTGCTGAGAGCATACTCAAATAACACCCCTCTCATTGCTTTCCCCCCTCTCATTGCTTTCCCTGGGGATGGCCACAGCTGCACTGCATTGCATGTCAAGCATCTCTGAAGCAGGGATCCAGAAGTCTTGGCATTTGTAAACAAAAGACAGGTCTGTTTGTCTGTCAAACAGTTCCTGCATTTCTGTAGTTTAGGGTTAGAAAGAGTTTAGGGTCAAATTAGTCAGATGTCTTTATATGGATAAAGATGAGATGTACGTGTTCACTTAGGCCAAAGTTTTCCATCATGTTGCCAAATTCCTGGTGTTGTAAAACCCCTTTTTTGTGCTCAAATTGTTACCAGACATCCCAAGCCAACTGCCCTTGGTCATAAGTGATATTTAATTGACATTTATGCTGCAGAAGAAAACACATTATGCTACAATATGTGAAATATTAATTTGGCTTATAGTTTTGTGTTTTTTATGTATAAAATAAAGCTATTAGACCAGATCCAAGAAATAATATTGGTAGCATACAATGTAACCTTAAGATTTCTTTAAGGAGGGAGTAGTTTATGCCAGAATGGCAGAAACCCTGTTGTAGTATAATTCTGACATTGCCTCATAACTAATTACCCCCAGTCCAGAGGAGCTGAAGATATTGCAGAGCAATGCACTTAACTACCATGATTCTCACTTGGTAGCAGTCTCTGGGGAGCTGTTTTGGCTGGCAACCAGGCTCAATTTAGAGCAACCCAATAACTTCTTTGATTTATGTCACAAGTAATTCCCCAAACCCACTCAATATGGGAACTAAGTAGAAAGAAGTTTTGCTTCCACTGAACTAAACGTGATATTTTTGTGTTCAGCAATTTCCTGGTCCCAAATTCAGGTGTTTCTTGGGACAAAATAGCTGCAACAGTCCAGAAGAGCAGCATAAAGACTGTTTATTCCTATTTCAAGTAATTAACAAGTGTAAGAATTCAGTTTGATCCACAACAAGATTAAAAAAAAGAAGTACACTTTTTCAGTAGTGTGAACAAACCCAAATTGCTAAACTGCTGACCCTCCTCAGCACGTACACCCTTTAAGGGGCTTGTCATTGTCGTAGCCTTAAAAAGAATAAAATGATAGCTTTTATTGCCTATGCTATCCTTTTAATACTTTTTTTTTCAAGAATTCAAGTTTGGTGTACAGTGCATTTTAAGACTTACAGGAAGGGGAGTTACTGTCCACAGAAACTAAGCAATGTTCCCCATAAATGATATCTAGTGGTAGGCTGAAGGTTCCGGGGATTCAGACCTCAGTCAGCCTTCCAAGAACTTGCAGTGTTTCCCCTCCAAGATCTTGCAGTGTCAGCTCCAGCATCTCATGTTTGACATGCACATTTCAGGGTTTCCCAATTTGTTATCAGAGACCTTTAGCATTCCAATATCTATAATCTGTGCAGCAATAGTCTGTGTTGGATTTGTATGGGCATGCGTAGCTTCTGACGATATTCATACAGAGACTTACAAAACATTTGTTTACTGAGACATATTAGAAATAGGTATTCATTGCTTTAAAAGCTGGCTGAGTGGTCACTTTGCCTCATGGCTAGTGATTCAGTTTGGATCCAGCCACCTGCTTTGAAATACAGCCTACCCAAGGGCTGGTAATTTCTGGGAAGGTCATAAGAAATAAAAAAAGTCCCAGACTGATGAATCATTTGACATTGGGATGTGGTAGGACTGTATATATCTATTCATATTTATAGATTTTAGATACACGAATGCTATAAATCTGCCCAGCTGAAAACCCTCTTTCTGAACCAGCTACCATGCAGGAGTACTTTCAAAGTTCTCAGCCCTGGAGAAACCTGTACTAAACTCCTAAATCAGAAAAGATCTAAATCTTTCAGTAGCTCTGTCTCCTAATGCAGAACTAGTCCTGCCCCACAAAATTTGGATTGTTTCCATACAGACCTAGTAACGATCAAGTAGAGAATGCGTTTGTCATATGGCAAGTATGCAGGGGAGGGAAACATTAAAGAAACAGGTAATGGAAAAAACTGTCTTTTGAAAGGCATAAAGAATATGAAACAAAAAGAGGCCAGAGTGCTGTCCCAAAACTTCAGAAGCTGTTTCTCATCAGGCTTGTGTAGGATCGTGTGTGAGGAGAGAGCAAATACTGTGCTAAATGTCTGGAAATACTTAGGCAAACCAAGGTATAGCTTTAGGAGGAAAGCACAACTTAGAACTGCATTCCTACAAGGAGTGTACATCCTGTAGAAATGTTTGAGGAAGTTCTCTTTCCACACAGGAGGTGATGATAAAGCAAAAGTTGCCGAGGGTGTAGCTGTAAATTTCACCATAACTAGGCTTGAAACAGTGTATAAAGCAGATGGGACTCAATGGAAAAGCCAACAGGAAAGACCTGAAAGCAGAAAACTCTGAGTGAGAAAAAACAGAGCATGAATAATTGCATTTATAAGTGTTTCTCCAGTTTAAATGAAGCACTTACTTACTATGAGACATTAAATGAATAGTGCTGATAGTTACCTATAAGTTATTAGAGGGGAATTGAGCTTAAAAAGGTACATTACTTTATTTCACTTTAAGATGCCCCTAATCCTGATGCCAGGCCAGTTTGCCAGTGTTCTCTGAGAAGCGAGTTGAATTCTTGCTGCCTCTTGCAGCCATGCAGTATTGCAGCAGTGATGTCTCTCCAGGAAATTTGGAGAAGGGGCCAGTATGTAAGGTACATAGGGGTTGCTGGGGTGGAAAAGTCCAGGTCTGGGAAGGATCAGAGGGAACACAGGGAAGCAAGTGGGTCTGTCAGGCATCCCAAGCACCAGCCCTCATGGAGCAATTTGTTTTCATGTGCTTGCTCCATTCACGAAAGATAAAAAGAGCATCTGGTCTGTTTGTTATTAATGAAAACAAGCCATAACAAAAACACGTGATCATACTTAAAAGTACAAGCAGCTATTGCTGGTTTTTTTATGATAAGAAATTGGGTAAAGGGGTAAACTTTTCTGTACACCCTAAATATTAAAAGCTTGTTGGCATTCATAATTGAAGATAAGGAGAAGAGATCCCCTGTAACAGAACCTGTAAGGGCTCACCTGGAAGTTTTCAGTGGAAATCTTTTTTGTCACCATGTCAGTGATGATGACTGATAGCCACCAACAGCCACAGTGAAGATGCAAAGATGAAACCAATGCTAAAAATTTGCCAATGATCCAAAGATGGAGAAAAGCTTCTATGGATGCACAGCTCCATGACGTAAAAGCTGCATAGTGCCAGCATACGCCAAACCCCTGAATCCATGATTTATGACTCATGCCCCCTCCAATAAAACCCCTCAAAATGTCAGTGCCATTTTAAGCCCAGATGCTCTATCATTATGACTGTCTGATTAAAGTGGTCCATCTGGCAAGATCACCCTGAATCTGTAGGAAAGAAGAGTAAAATCGACGTAAGCACTTCTGATGTGTTTTTCTGGGACTGTCAATGGCTATATATTTACAGGCAAAAAGCCATGAGAAAATACAGCTTGGCTCCCTTAGCTCATAGCGGCTGCAAGGAGATGCTGTTCCAATCAGAGGAGAAAATTATGCAACCTGGTGGTAACTGCTGGCACTGGGGTTTTATTGGGAATCCTCAGTAGGAGTTTGTGTGTGTTTCCTAGCAATGCAACATCATACGGTGAGAAAAACAAGCTAAAAGGGAAATGTTTTGAAGATGAATCAGCTTATTTTTGCTTTCACTGTTGGTGTGATTAGAAGGGGAGATTGCACTGTTAACTATAACAGCACCCCTCAATTTCAAAAGTCACATTTTCATCAAGCCCATTTATAGAAGCTGTCCCCCACAGATAATGTGATGCTGACTGGAGAGAACATTGCTAAAAGGATGGCAGATGATGAATAGTGCCATGCAAGTGGTGGTAATAGCTATAAACCCAGCTATTTTTGAAAAATAAAAGTAGTTTTATTGCTTGCCTTACCTTGTCAGAGCCATGTCTAGACTGAAATGTGACATGGGCTATGTTCATCTCTACTGATTTATAATGCACCTGACCACTGGTGGTGAACTGTGGTGACCTAGTCTTCCCATACTGTCTTTTCTCTTCTAGTGGCACTCCAGACTCATATTTTTATTGTAGAAACATCAAAAACCCAGTTTATATTTTATTTTGTATACAAAACCACAGGATGTAGTCTATTTTAATAGTTTCTGACAGCATTTCAGGTACAGAGTAGGTGCTTTCTGCTCTAGTGACTCACGTATCCATCCCTGGAGAGAATTCAGAACATGACTGTAAAAAGACCCTGAGCAATCTGCTTTGAGCAGGGCGTTGGTCTAGATGATCTCAAGGTCCCTGCCAACCTTAGCCATGCTGTGGTTCTGTGATGCTTTATGTATAAATATTTTTGTGCTCTACTTTGCAAGGAATATTGAATAATATTTGCAAGAAAAATTGAATAATAGATTTCTGCTGAGCTGCCCCAGAAAACGTGCTTAGTCTTAATATACACTAATGCTAAACAATCGTTACTTTATTGATGATACACACCTATCATTATGGCAAGAGCAAGAGAAGAGCACAAAACAAGTGCAAGGAAGATTAATGACAAGAGTTTGTTAGAAAACTCCTCCTTCATCTTGTATGGAAGATTCATACAACTGGTA